ATTTGACCCAGCTATCCCCCTGCTGGATATCTTCCCAAAATAATTAAAAGAATCATACCACAGTCACATTTGTGCACCCATGTTTATAGCAGCATAGTTTGTAATAGTGAAAGCTTGGAAACAGCCCAAGTGCCCATTAACATGAAACTGGATAAAGAAGATGTGTTTTTTTTTAATAAAATGGAGCACTACTCATCCATAAAGAATGAGAAACTACAGACACTTATAGATAAATGGATGCATATTGAGGCCATCCTCTTAAGTGATATAAATAGGACATATATGTGTAAATATGAATAGTTTCTCTAGTGTGCGAAACTGAAAGTTTAATTAAGGATACACATGGATGAATTTGCCTAATAACATATTTCTTGGATTGTCTTTCCATTGCATGTCATATGACTGTATTGAAATTTAAATTATGGAGAAGCTTGGCTTATGTGGAGTCTGCTAGCTAACTGAAGATTTTTTCCAGACCACTATTTGTTCAATGTTGGTTTTAGGGATCTTTCTGAAACAAATCACATCCTCTGGTGTCTTGTTGGTGCTTGAGATTATTTTTTAAGTTATATGGAAAAATGTTTAAGTGCTTCTCAGTTTTGTTTTGGTTCAGTTCTACTGTATTTGAATATTATTGTAGGTTATTTTCACTTGCTTTGTTCTTCTTGAATGGTTTTAATTTTTGTATGTGTGTGTGTATGATAATAAAGTTATTTTAAAAATAAAAAAGGAAAAGAAGAAAGAATAAAAGAAGAGGAAATATCAGGTGTTGGCTTGGGTGAGAAGAATATTGGTATGTTGGAAGGATCTTGGTGCATTTCTGAGGGGAAGTTAAAGTGCAAACAACAGTGAAAATGCTGCAGCAATTCCTCAACATGTTATGCATAGAAGTATCATATTTTAAAGCAATTTCAGGTCATTGAAGAATTGGCCTTCAAATTAATGGTGCTGCACTGATATTTATAACAACATCATTCAAAATACCCAGAAGTTGGAATCCAAACAGACTCCTGAAGGAGATGAATGAAAAGTGCATAAACTATGTACATCCAGTGGGGAATTATTTGGCATTCAAAAGGAATAAAACTCTGATACATGCCCTAAGGATGAACCTTGAGAACATAAGTACAATAAGTCAGACTAAGAAAGACAAATATTGCACAATTCAATCTTTTTAAGAAACAGAAGAAGTCACTTGTAAACTCAGAGCAACTGAGTTAACAGGACCGCAGGGAGGGAGAATGAGCAGCTTCTCTCTATGTTATGACTTCAAACCAAGTATGATGAGAGGTTAGGGAGCTGCAAGGGGTTGATGGTTGGATAAAAATGAGAATCTGCTGAATGGAATTGAATAGAATCACCACAAATAATTAAATAATAAATTTTAATTAACATACACTTTATGACAATATCAAAGTTAGAAAAAATAAGCCTATACTAAGCCAGTAGAATTGCTTCCCAGGAAACTTCCCATTAGCTCAGTTATTAGAGATTATGAAAAAGACATCGAAGAACTTTAATGTTTTATCTGCAATGAAATGTAATATTGATATTTCCTAAAATGCATCCCACCAAAGTGAGGAATGGTAACTCTTTCTTATCCATTTTAATACTTAGTACATTTTTCTATGAGATAATATTTATTACCAACATGAGACCAATTTAATCATGAATAGTACCTAAAGCATATTAAAGGTTACTCCTCAAATGTCAGACATTTCAAGAATTTCTTCCAATGTACTTATGTTAAATTTATCATATTGCAGAGTAATACAGTAAGTTTGCTACCCAGTGAAATCAAAACTGGCAAACCCATGGAGACACATTCTAGTGATTCACGGAATGGATGAGGAATATTTAATCACAGGTCCCATGGGACTGAGACTCAGTGACCCTGGGAGAGTCTGAGTAGAATACCAGGATCTCCCCAGGCACTGGCCCTCAGCACCTGAGGAAGCACTGAGGACCTATAGACTGCTTCCTGGCCTTGGCCCAGGCACAGCCTGCCAGCAGGATGCTGCCTTTGTGGTCCCAGTCCCCAAGGACTTTCCCTGGGAACATGCAGGTCTCAAAGCACCCCCATCAGGATAGCTGGATTCAGGGCTCAGGGTTCACTGTGGAGGAGCCAGGCAGAGGAGCCAGGCAGAGGAACCAGGAAGAGGTGCATGTGAGCTGCAGGGACTCAGGAGGGCCAGACAGGCTCTGCTCATTCAGGGGTTGGGGCTGGGCACCCTAGGTCTAGGGGAGGATGGGGCTGGGCTCTAGGTGTGCATGCTGGTGCAGCTCTCAGGGGGTTCAGACTCTCGAGGAAGCACTTATAATAATAAAATACTAGAATGAGAAATTTGTGATTTTGGAGAGGTTTTTGACAAGAGACCTTAAGAAGGAATTTTTATTCGATAAAAATGAGGTTACATCCCTTCTCGGCCTTTTGGCTAAGATCAAATGTAAAATGAGGTTAAAAGACAGATGAATAGTAGATAATCAATAGTTTTGCTTAAAAAATAGAGTAGGTGTGTGCCTTAAAATTATTGCAAAGTATTTTTTTTAAACTTAAAGGTGTTTTAATATCTAAAATATAAAATACCATGCAGTTCTGGAAGGGATGAATGTGTTTTTGATACCTCATGTGAACTGATTGTGAAATTGATAATCCACACAATGGATGAGATTATCCAAAATTTCTATTATGTATAGTAAGACTGAGGTACACTTTAAATGATTCTCTATTCTTGAAATTATGGTCAATTTAATGTTAATGTCAACATATAATAAAATTTACATTAAAAGTTGCATAAACTCAAACAATATTTCAAAATCTGAGATGGTATTTGATCTTAAATTATCCAAGATATTTACCAAAAAAAAAATCACATTTGAAAGATAAATATTTACTTAGAAAGGGCACTTGTGTCATTTCTAGACCTATGATAAACTACCTGAGATTTGAAGGTTCTTTTATATGGACATAGTAATGTGAATTATATTTTACAGAAGAAGGAATATTTTCATGCCAATGCATAATATATTCAAAACGATGCTCATTCTTTGTCATGAGCTCTTTTGTCATGTAGATTAAATCTAGGTTGAAATAATTCTGTATTTAATTTGATCACTTTAGTAAATCAGAGCAGTAATTAGTGGAAGAATGGTCAATTTGAAACTGAATTTGGAGTAGAGTTTCAGGGGCAGTGGCTGCAATCTTACACCCAGAAGTGGTTTACACAGTAATTCAGGAATGAGCCCCTGGGTGTGAAGGGGACTGAGGACTTTTGTAAACCCAGGGGCTGAGTCACAGCAGGGAGTCTCTGCAGGGCTCCTGTGAATTGAATGGAGGAAGCAACATCTAAGAGTCCAAGTCCTCATAAAATGGAACATAGATTTTCTTATGTCTGCTTTCACTTGTATTTTGGGGATATTTATTTATTTTTGCAGATGAATGCAATAACATGAAAAGATCTCAAAGTATCTCAAAAATTATTTTTTAGATATACACTATTTTGGCTCATATGAATTGGTTGATTATAAAAGCCTTTTTAATAATGTTGTACGGAAATATGTAACCAATGTTTTACACTAAAGCATTTTGAAAAAATGATTTTTTCTTTTTAATTTAAATATACTATATTTAAACTAAAGCAGTATTGAGTAAAATTTTCTGTCTCTTTGGTAAAAGTTTATTTTATTTTAAAAAGTAATGATTGTAAATTGTTGTGCCCAGATCGCGAGGTCCCCAAAGACCACCAAGGAACCGATTCCGATGCAAACACACGAGGGTCATTTATTCAAGCTCGAGCAGGGGCTCTCAACTGTCACTGATGCAGCGGGTCAAGATTGAGAGCCCTGACTCTAAAACACCAGGGGTTTTTATAGAGGTTACAGCAAGGCGCGGGGTTTCAAATCACATGCAAATCACACAATTGGCTAGCATTTAGCAAGTTTTGAAAGTTTAAACCTAATTGACTGGGCCTTGCGTGCTGAACTGCAAATGGCTGCTCAAGTCATCAAAAAGAACATCTGGGATACTGGGGTATTGGGGTAACTACTGATTAGCTGTTGCAGGCCATCGAGAAGAGCATCTGGGACATTGAGGCAGCTATCGATTAGCTGTCGCTAAGGGACTGCTGGACATTATCACAGGCAGGTGGCCAAAGTGCATCTTGTGGTTTTTCTTGGAACTAGAATTTATGTCCAGGCCACCTTTACTCTAAAATGGGGCCAAAATTTTAAAATGGAGTCACTCAGGTCTCACATAAATAATGGAGATTTCCCAAGGAATAGTGGATGTGCCCCAGTCATCTGTCTTTATCCACCCACCACTGCCTGATTGTGCTGCTTCACAGGTCACATTAGCAATTTGTGCCCATCATTGCTGCAAAATCATCTCAGTTGTCTGGGAAACCATAGCAGTGCCTGCACAGACACCTTTACTTGTGGGGAGCTGATGGGGCTGCTGTGAGCCCAAGGCTGACCCTGGGCAACTGGCCCCATTTGGAATACATGGACTCTCCTCCCAGGGACTGGCCCAGCAAGGGCTTGTTCTCTGTGCAGTCTGGGGAGGGATCCACAGGTTCTGTGCAGCAGGGCAGTGCACTTTCCTGCTGAGTAGGAGAAGGGGAATTGTATTAAGACTCTGTGCCCAGATTGTGCAGAAGGCAGCATGAATACACCTCAGCCAATTCCATTGCTTTTTATACATACACATATTTTGCAACATCTCATATTAATGGCAAATAAAATATCTGATTTGAAAAAACCATTATAAAATATATCATTTTCATCAATTCATGGATTTATATATTATATTCCCATGACTGTCAATTTCAGATATATGTATGAACCATAAAATGGAGATGATTTTTCAAAATAATTTCTTCATAATTAAAGAGATGTAATAGTAGCATACATCAGTCTGAATGAAATAGTGAATTGAAATAACTTCTTATTTATGTGTACCAAATCACTGCAGGCACTCTCAGGAAAAGCTAAGCAAATGCCTGATGGAAAATTACAATCAGACCTGTACCGACTTCATCCTACTGGGTCTGTTCCCCCCATCAAGCCTTGGATTTTTCCTCTTCACTCTCATCATCCTCACCTTCCTAATGGCCCTGGCTGGCAATCTGTGCATGGTCCTGCTCATCCTGCTGAACACTCAGCTCCACACACCCATGTACTTCCTGCTCAGCCAGCTCTCCTTCATGGACCTCATTTACATCTGCACCACTGTCCCCAAGATGGCTTCCAGTTTCTTCTTTGGAAACAAGTCCATTTCCTTCATTGGGTGTGGGGTTCAGAGTTTCTTCTTCGCAACTTTAGCAGGTTCAGAAGGACTGCTCCTGATGTCTATGTCCTATGACCGTTACATGGCTATTTGCTTCCCTCTGCACTACTCCATCCACATGAACAGAAGAGTGTGTGTGCTGATGATCCTGGGGTCCTGGGCAATGGGTGTTGTCAACTCCTGTGCTCACACAGTCTATGTCCTCCGTATGCCCTACTGCCAGTCCAGGGCCATCAATCATTTCTTCTGTGATATCCCAGCCATGTTGACTCTGGCCTGTGGGGACACCTGGGTCTATGAGTACATTGTGTTCTTCAGCACCATCATCTTTGTCCTATTACCTTTCATGGTCATTGTGGGTTCCTATGGGAAGGTGCTCCTTGCTGTGTACCACATGCGCTCACGGGAAGGCAGGAAGAAGGCCTATTCCACCTGTAGTGCCCACCTCACTGTGGTAACTTTCTACTATGTACCCTTCGCTTACACTTATCTCCGCCCAAAGTCATTCCGGTCTCCAGCAGAGGACAAGGTGGTGGCTGTCTTCTACACCATCCTCACCCCAGTACTTAACCCTGTGATCTACAGCCTGAGGAACAAGGAGGTGGTGGGGGCCCTGAGAAGAGTGACCAGGAAGTTCTGCTTTACAACAGTCTAGGTAAATTTCTGCCTCAGTGTATTCAGAAGAGGACAGAGATAAGAAAAAATATTTATTGCTGAGGCCTCAGAAACTAGAATTAAGGTTTAAGATTATGAATTTCTGAGTTATGGCATGATAACAATTATGTATTCTAGTATATACATTTTGATTTCTTTATCTCACCTTTCCAATAAACACATTGGAAAAGTTTTTGCCATTTTGAAGACAATTTTTAATTATTAGTCAGATATTGAAGTGGAAAATGGGGGAAAATTTGGTTATTTTGAAGGTGTGTGATCAAAATGTTTGTTGAATTTTTTAATTTTGAAAAATTACAGTAAAAAACACTTTGCTATGAACCCCCCTCAAAATACTCACATTCCTTTGAACATGCTTATCCCATTGTCCTTGCTAATTTTCTTACTCTGACCTCTCAAAATTTACATGATTGGATAAATCATGTTATTGAATTTTCCTGTGTGTGTTAGGAATATATAAAGAAAAACTATCTGAATTCATATCTTCAGCTACACATGCTGATTACTACTGTACATCCAGAACTCACACTGACACAGTGTGACAGCACAGAGGACAGAAACTTCCTTAACCTCACAATTACTTATAACTCCCATCACCTGCTGACCTACTGAATCTGTGTTCTCAACAATCACATTTCTAAATAATGATTCCCATCAGCATATAAGATTCCCACCTAAAATGCAATGCATTTTGAATGACATTGGATAAAAATGGAGCACAGCACATGAAAAAATAGAATATTATCTGTCAACTCTTGATTCTTCAATGAAACATAACAACACATGGGTACACATTTTTTAATCACAGAAATCCATCCATGTCCTATTCAGTCTGTGTAGAAATGGTTTGTCCTTATTTCACGAGTCCTCCACAGTGTTTTTGAAACAAGATGTCACTGTTTTGTCCAAGGTAGCCTTTAGCTCCTGGGGTCAAGCAGTCCTCCTGCCTCAGCCTCTTGAGTGTCTAACCCACAGGCATGTGCCACTGCAGTACAGAAACCTTTGTCACCTGAGTCTTGCTCTTTGGGATGCAGAATGGGCTTCCTTTTAAAAATGGGTGAGTATGATTGTTCACCTAAAGAGCTATGTGCTATAGTGAACAATTCCTGTGGGCCAAAAGGAGACATTCAGAGATGAGTAAGAGCAACAGCTGCATTCTACTTGGGGTTGTTTTAGCTTTTTTATTTTTTATTTTTCAGTACCAGGGATGGAACTTGGGAACTTGTGCTTGTGAGGCAGGTGGCAGAACCACTGAGCTAAGTCCCTGGCCCTTTCCTCAAGTTTTGACTCCTGATTTCTTTCCATTTGAGCCCAGTCCCATGACTGTCTGTGCACACTGTGGGGTCACAGTGCAGAAGGTGCAGGCTGGGTCCTGGCCCCTGCAAAACACCCTCAGGATAACAGCACCTCAGGGGTCCCATGACAGGTGGGGCTCAGGGGGCACCCTAGTCCTCCTGAGTCCTGGACATCTCACCATTTGTCACCCACACAAGGGCCTGGGCTCCCTGGAGATGCCACTGCCATGGTCAGTCCGAGGACACAGGTCACACACACTCAGCTCCAGCTTAGTCTTCTCCTCAAATTCCCAGGACCTGGCCCAGGAAGCTGTGGAAAGTACTGAGAAAGCCCTGGGTCACAGAAACCTCCTGATACCCTGCATCTGCATCCAACCTGATCTCTTAGCTCCTCCTCCCTCCTCCTCCTCCTCTTCCTCCTCCTCCTCCTCACAGCTCAGTCCTCAGGGGTCTGGAGGGCCAAATGGGCCCTGATGTAAGATCCAGGGCAATTTGATGAGGGTCACAGGGAGGCACTTCAGCTTACAGAAACCAAGGCAGTCAATCTGTGAACTTTCATTTCAGGAATCATTTTGGCCTAGAATATTAACAATTCAAATATTGTTAAATCCTTACACAAAATAATGGTGCAATATTATTCATTTCTGAAGAAAATGCAGAAATAACTTCTTAGAAATAAGAAATTGGTAAACATGACTAAGCTTCTATTTGTAACAAAAATTAATAATTGAACATTTTTGAATAACTCTTAGGGACCAACAAAACCTTTTGGAGAACCAAATCGGCATGGTTCACAGAGACAATTTAAACTGCATGTCACTGGGCAGTCATACTTGAAAGCAACCACATTACAGGGATGCTGATAATTTGGTGATGGTGATGGAAGCATTAGTGGTGGAGACTGTAAACCTGCTCCACTGTCCAGTGCTATCCTAGGACAAGTCATGCGCTGAGTGTGCACCATGTGTGTTCCCATGGGCAACTTGTGGGCATCCATGTTTGTGTCTCTGCACACTCAGAGAGGCCTGAGCAGCTTGAGATTACCTTTCTAAAGGTCAAGACCTGTATTAGATGCAGATTTAAAACTTATCTTTCTGCCATGAACATGTACAATGAAGCAGAAGTCATTCTCAGCCCAGAACAAAATTCAAACTACATATTGAGGCAATCAATTTCTGTGTATCAAAAAGGTCTTTCTACCTACTTCTGTATTTTTAAATATACTAATGCATCCTTGTGGAACTTCCTGGAAGTATATAATTTAGAAATGTTCAACTACACACAAAAAATAATTACTGGGTATTATAATCTTCTTAATATATTAAAAATGGTTCTTTATCCCATACTAGACAATGGAAAACAAGTGGTTGCAAATGTGAAATGAGATCACTTAATATTAGTCAGTAAAATTTCATAGAACACTGTGAACTCACCATGCCTTTTCCAGTGGAATCTGGCAGGAGACTGCAGAGAAGGGGAACCACACTGGGTTTCTCCACACACTGTGAGAATGCTCCTCTCTGATTTCTGAGATTCTACAACAGTCATTTTCCAGTGTGGTGAATTCTCATTCACTGAGGTGAGTGCACAATATGTCTCAGTATAGGTAGGGAGACTCAGGCAGGACCAGTGTTGTGCATGGAGCTGTGGCTGGGCTTCCAGAGTCAGAAACTTCAAGAGCCTCCCCACCTCTGACCCAATCCTCAGGTTGACCTGTAAACTAGGAGAGTCTGGAATCCTGAAAATAGAAAAGTGATTCAGATTTCTTCAAAACATAGTAGATGGTGTCATGGATGTGAGAAATATGTATTTATTTATTTGATTAATATTTAAATATTTGCCAGTATGTTTCATTTAGAGGCTTTAAATTTCAATCTGAGCTTTCTTGGAAAACTCTCTGCAATGTGAAATTAAGGAAACGTATGTTTTGATAAATTCAGAGTCTTGCTCCACCTCTATAAATGATCAGAACAAATGCAAAGAAAACAGCATTACTGTGTAAAGTTCTGTCTCTGAGAATCCACTGGTCAACAGGGAGCAGAGTGGAGGAGGCTGTGCTACAGTGGAAACTGCAAGGTGCAGACTCTGAGGGACACCATTCCTTGGTTCTCATCTCTTTCCCTTGATTCCTCTGGGGGCACCAATGGCTCAAATGTCTGTGCTTCTCTTATTCCTACTATGGGAAGGATATTATGTTACAAAAACTCTACATATTTTATTAGTACAGGAATCACAAAAGAGGCATTTTTCAGTACCTTATTTTCAACTCTAAATGGAAGCATAATGAACCAATGAAATGCAATGATGCAGGTAGATTGTAGAGTACAGGGAAAGGGGACATTTCTAGAACCTCTGCAGTAAGTCCTAGTCTCCTGTGAGCCAGCAGCACAAGGTGAATTAACTTATACAGGAAAAGTAGAAAAACTGAGACTTAGAGAAGAAGCTGAGCTTTGGGCCTAATCAGTGCTGCTCTGGGCAGCAAATATGAACACTCCTGAGCTTGCTGCACATTTTATTCAGTACATCTGGAGAAACAAATGTAACACATAACTCTGGACAGAGTTCAGTACATAGGGAGAAACAAATGTAACAGATGACTGGCGAGTGGCAGAATTCCTAGATCAATGAGGAACTATGCAGATGAAGATTTGTTCCTCCCAGGATGTCTTCAGCTGATGTAATCTTGTCCTGGAGAATCACAGCATCACTGGATCACTGAGGTCTTAGTTGTGACCAGAGCCCAACATGGAGTTTTGTCTCACAATGCCATAGCTGCCCTGTAGGCAGGAGAACTAGGCTTAATCATATGATTTTTCCCAAAATTATGTAGGATTTTCCCCAACAGTGGACTACAGCACAAATTTCATTGTAATGTGTGGGTAGCACTTGGAGAATTTCACCCATGATGCTTAATATGTACCTGCTTTACACTGGAGATCATGAGGATGTTTCTCTGCCATCAAGTTCTCCTAGTGGGGACCTTGTATCATGTGGTATAGGATATAAATAGTCAGTGCTTTAAAAACCATTTTTTTATGAGCATATTTATATTTGTTGCTGGGTCATGTGGTAAAACAGTAAAACCAGGTGACAAAGAAACACCTGATGCCTGCCCACATGAGTGACTTTACCAGTAAAATAATGTTTGTGTTTAAAGAACTTTCAACACTCTTTTAAATAATTTATCATTTGTATAAAATTTATATTTTAATATTTTTTCTTCTTTTCATTTTCATTTTTGTTTTGGGTGATCAAAATGTGAACATCCCTTATTTTAGTATAATTAACCAAAGATATTGGAAAAATTATTTCACCAGGTGCTTTTGAAAGGTTTAAATATGTTTGTATTCATTTCTATAAATACTGTACAACCACTGTGTGCATTAACATGTACACATTACAATTACACATCCAATAAGTTATACATTATGGAAACTTTATATATGGTTCTATACATGTGTGTGGACATTTTTCTAGCTGCCATTCCAGGATAGTTCACTTAAAATCTCTGAATCTGAGCTTTCTCACCCACAAAGTGTCATAGTTGATAGCTACCTGAAGAGACTACCATTAGGATTAAATTCAACTGCATCTGGGCCAAACCTAGACAGGTTCATGGTGACAGTCTGTGGGGACAATCAGTGATTTCCATGCCTCCTTCTCTCCTCTCAGGTAGGACAGTCCT